CGGAAATTATAAATCACTATTAGAGCACTCTTCATAGGCCATAAAGGAGACAAGAGACATGGAAGAAGAGGAACCTGTCTTATGGAAGTACTGTAGTTAAATCAGTGCTGTAACTAATCTTTGGGTCCCTTACTCTTGCTAGATTGTTACTTTCTATGGCTTCCACCAAAACTGATGTAGGCAGAGCAGCTGGCCCTGGAAGTGGTTGCACAGCACATTTTGCTAAACAGAGAACCTGTGCTGCTTTTGCTGTGAAAGAGAAGTTTCCCTATGTGGAATTTCTTGCTACCCTAGGTACACTGCTTCCAGGTACCTGCACTACCTGTGGTCGTGTGCTCTAATCTTGTGCTTTTGCTTGTAGTGAAATAAGGCTTTCCTAGCTCCTGTTGTATTGAAGGCAAACCTTTACAACCTTTTTCACTTGGAATTTGATTTAGTATGTGTGTGTATATGTACATAATATAAACTTTTGTAAATGCTCTTATTTTACCTATGTAGCATATAACAGGGTTTTGTTTTGTTTTTTTAAAAGGTGCTGCTCAATTCCCACCTTGTCTCACATCTATTGGTTAAGTGAAATAAAACAGTCCTCAGAAACTTCTGGTGTTGTGTGGATTTGTTGGGATAGGAAAGGAGTGCACTAGAAGGACTGGGGGAGGAGGGGGGAAGGGGGAGAAGAACTATGCATCTCTCTGTAGTCAGGGAAATATCACCAAATATCACCAAATCATTTTGTTAGGCGTGTGGATGGCGTGTGGATGGCGTGTGGATGGCGTGTGGATGGCGTGTGGATGGCGTGTGGATGGCGTGTGGACTTCCATAACTACTCCCAGGAAGCAGTTCCTGAGTGGTTGCTGTTACTTTTCTTAGTCTTATAGCTGTAGTGCAGGGTGTTGCTGCCGTGTTGCTGCCGTAAAGATTCTGAAGTCATCAGAAGTGCTGGATCGCCATTCCTTTTGTAGGTAGGTTACCTCCATTATTTTCTTGATTTCCATAACTTTTCTTAGTCTGTCATTTGAACTGCCAATACTCCTGTTGCTTTTCGTTGTTTCTTTCTACATGCTGGACTGCTATTTCTACTCTCTGGAGGTTATTTCTCTGATAGATTTTTTTTTTTGTGTGTCTTTCTGTCATCATTTTTATACGTTTTCTGATTTGCTGCACTTCCATATCTTCTATCTGGATGCTTCTTCCTTTATTTCCGCCTGTATCCTGCCGTCCATTAAGTCAGAATAGCCAGAAGGGTAAGGGAGATGATCCTGCTTTTCTTCTCTGTGCTGGTGAGGCCTCATCTGGTATACTGCATCCAGCTGTGGTTTGCTCAGTACAGGTGAGAGATAAACCTGTTGGACAACATCCGGAGTAGGGCTGCAGAAGTCATCTTTGAATGGAACACTGTTGCTGTGAGGATAGGCTGGGTGAGGTGTTGCTCTTCAGTCTGGAGAGGGGAAAAAAAAAAAAAAAAAAGCAAGGCTCTGAGGGTCCATTATTTCAATTATTTTTTGACTTTGTCTTCTAAAGCATGACTCTCATTGGTTTACTGTGGAGCTTAAGTTAGTTATTTATTTTTGTTTTCTTCCTTTGTCAAGGGACACATCAGGCTGATGCTGAATGCGGGAGGTTATTTCTGTTATTCCCATTATTTCTGTTCTCTTACTTGGTCAGCCACATGTCAGGCTGAGGCTGGATCACTTGGGATTTCCTTTATTTCTGCTATTTCCCTTATTTTCTAGTGTAAGCTATGTCACATTGTGCATGCTGCACTTCTGATATCCTGGCAAGCTGTGGTTAAAAGCTGTTTCAGCCTTAAACCTTTTAGGGGATATGACCCCATTGCCCTGGCAGTTGCTTTAGGTAAGGCAGTGTCCACTAAACCCTGACAGTTTCTGGAGGATTTGAGCCTCTTCTCTAAGCTTGCCTGTCCTATAGCATTTCTCCCTTCTGTACTTCTCAAGCTTCTCTTTTTGGAAATATATCACCATGAAGTTAAGACCCCAGAGCACTGTAGCAGTGAAGCCTTAGATGCTGCACACCTGGCACTCACAGATCAGTAGACACTGTACAAATTTCTTTTGGGTCTCAGTTGTAACCTGGAAACAATAATAATGCTCTGTCTTCATCTAAATCTGACAAGGTTGTATTGTCAGTAAATCATGAGCAGACCTTTCATTCAAGAAACATATTAGACAACGTTTACTATCTTGCTGTATTAACTCTATTGCTTAACTTCCCAGCATGAGCTTTTTGCAGTCCTAGAAGTTACTTTTTTCCCTCTTAATGGCTTATATGGATCTTGATCCACTCTATGTCTGGCTTTATCTTTTAACTGCCATTACACAAACTGTTGCTCTCTGTCTTTGAGTCTCTTCTGTCATGCTCCTATACATCAATATTTTGGAGAGACAGAATTGCTAATTCACACTGCACTGAAGAAACCTCGGTGTTGCAGAGGCCTCACCTTGCCATTGGTGCTGACACCCACAGAAATAGCTGGGTATTTCATCTGAAGAACAGCCTGTACTGGATAAAGGATAGCCTTGCTTCTACGAGAGCATGCATCTCAAAAATCATCAGGTAAAAATCATTAAATATTGTGTAGTGCTCGTAGTTTTTTTTTCCCTTTGTCTGAAGACTTTCTAATAATCATTTTCAGTAACAGGAAGCTCAAGAGCATGTAATATTTCATCCCTGCACCCAAGAAGAAATGGAGGGCCAGCTGCTTTGATGGTGCAAACCAGTGGGGTTTCTATTTTTTTCCTACAGAGCTATTTCACCCTGAATAGCCCTCAGATTGTGTAGACCAATTGACACAAGTAAGTCAACTGAGACTCACAGTGAATTTATTCTATATGCAGTTTTGGAGAAGTGGTGACCTGTCTGTATAGCTCAGTTTGTTGAGATGATAACCAATACCCTTGTGTGTTACCTTCTGTTACTAGCAAGGTTCCAGCAGAGTAACATACAAAATACACATGAAGGAAGTGAAATAAGAGAATTCATTTACTTTCCCTAAGCAATTATAAAAATGTCCTGATGATCCCAATATGCTTACTATAGCATAGTGAGACCATGATTAGCACTTAATTTGATACTCTTAATTTGTATGTTAATTAACTTTGGCAACAGCAATCAATAATTGCACAGATAGGTAACAAATTCAACCAATCTGCAATGTGAAGTAATCAGAAGGAAACAATACTTGAATTCTTCTTCAGACATGGCAAATACATTTGGCTATCAGAGGAGTCTGTATTTATTTTGTGTTTATTGCTGATCTGGGGAAAAACAGTATTTCCAGAGGAGGGGAGTATGAAAAAGTAAAGAACAGAATGAAACTGTGATCTGAATGCTGTAATGCCTTTTTGGTCAGGCTTGTAATTCAGGAAGACTTTGAAATAAAAACATTAAATGTACATTTCAAACTCAGATATATCCAAGCCATAGAGTAGATGGTTGGAGCACTCAAACTGGCTTTGCAGATTACTTACAGTGACAGACAGTCCATCAGAGTTAAGCAGCAGGTTACTATCTCTGTGTTCATTTTCCTGTCAGAGGTTCAGTGGAGCTCCCCTTTGGATGTGCACAACTGTTTTCACAAGTGAATGTTGGCTGCTACTTGTCCTGGTCTCTGATTTCCTTGTTGAGAAAGTCAATTTTTATTTGCAGACTGGAGGTAGAGTGCAAACCAAACAACAGACATAGGCAAGGAGTCGCTAAGATACCAGGACAAGATACAACATTCAATCTGTATTTTTCTCAGTCCTTTAGGCACTGTGCACTTTCTAGTTCATCTCCTGGCTTAGGAACCCAGAGAATCCAGTAAGTAATCTACCACACCACTCCTTTGGTCCCCACTGAAGATGACAACCTCTCAGGTGTCTGCCATTGAAACTCGCTCTAATGGCTGCCTTATTCAGTCTGTCCCCACAAGATTCTTTAAAGCTTCTCACCTTATTTGCACTTCCCATTTTGATGATCTGCATCCCTAAAGCCCTAGGAGTAGGGACACCAAACCTCTAACATCCTCCTTCCTTATTTAACTGTGAGGTTAAATATTAGCCAGCAGTAGCTCAATAAGGATTTCAAATTACCATTTTGGTCTAATTACTTGAGGGAAGGAAGGATAAGCTGCACAGCTACTCCTGGGCACTGTGAGACTGCACATGAACTTGTGGTTGGGTGCTGCCCTCCCATTGCTTTCCTCCCTTTCCTGGTGCAAGCATACAGCCCATGGCAGAGGTAGTGGTGAGCCTTCAGGTGAGGTTTCAGGCTCACAGTCACTGCAGGATTGTATTCGCCCATCCGAGCTCTGAGTGAAGAGCAATTGCATGACTGGTGAAGTCCATGCCTTGCATTTCTGTTGCTGTGTCTATTTTGCCTACCTCTGTTCTCTCGTGTGCTCTGTGTCACAATAGGTACCCAGTATATAACAGTGTTCTGAAAACTTGCCCAGTAAAGATTGCAGCTGCAGCCAGACTGTGCTCAGAAAAAGGAAGCCCAAGTAAGCCACTTGCCACTGACCTTTGATTCAAATGCCAATGTTTAGCAAGCAAATATTTAGAAGCACACCATTAAGCAGGGAGGCACAGCTTTACCACAGTGAATGTCATCAAGAGTGCCTCAGGAACAGGCTGACAGCTTTCTCTTTCTCTTCCTCTCCCAGTGGAGCAGCCTGTTGCAGCCACTGCCTCTGCAGTCAGGCTGCCTGCAGCAACTGGAATGAACTCAGTATATGCCAGCTCAGCCTTAGGACCTGATCCTAACCACTGTCTGTGGTTGGAACCCACATACTGGGCAGTGTTCAGGAAATTAGTTGGTAGTGGTCAGGTGCAGTAATAGGTTCAGCAGTAGTGGGTATTTTTGCCTCAGGAGTGGCTTAGAATTAGCTGTGTTGGTCAGTTTATAATTAGATATTTGTATCTAACAGGATTATTTTTCTGTTAGGTGTTTATAGTTTTGTCTCTTTTTTAAATATGATAAATAATCTTTATATGTATGTATTTTATATATATATACACCCTGAAAGAATATCTATAAAAAGGGAGAATCCTTGTCAGGTGGATGCTGCAGCAGAAAAGCCCAAGCCACAGGCAGGGCAGTGGTAAGCTTCCCTTTTCCGAAGCCACTCAGAGGTTAACCAGGGTCTGTAAGAAAACAGCTTAGTGAAGGAACACAGCTTAATGCTGGGGCTGCCTCAGGGATGCCAGCCCCTCGTGGAGCCACTGGCATGCACACAGGGGCAGCCCTCGCCCTCAGCAGCACAGCAGGGAGCCCTTTGGGGAGGTCTGGGACTTGGCTGGGACTGAGGGAAGTCGCAGGAGGGAGTGTTTCTGTCTTGCAGGCGGACGCAGGCAGATGTATATGCATAAAAACCCTGGAAGAGGAGGGCTGTTGAACACACCCACACCTCCGTTTGCTTGGCAGCACTGGGCTGCTGAATGCCAGTACAGCATCGTACCGGTACCGAGGAGCTCTGCCCATGGGCTGGCGGCTGCTGCTGCTGCTTCTGCTACAGGCAGGTGAGTGCTACATCCCACACTCCATCCCTCCTTCCCCCACCTCCCCCCATAACTCCTACCCTGGACAGCTTCTCCCCTTGCTGCCAGCTTTGCCTACTTCACCCATAGTATTTGCACTGCCTTTTTTTTTTTTTCCTCTTCAAGTTTGTAGTGTGGGACTGTGTAAGCAAGCTGTGTGCCTGTTTTCTTTCCATGGTGGCTTCAGTAGCAAAAACACAGATTACTTTCTTTTGAGGATAATTTTCTGCTACAAGGTTGCTGGTGTTGGTGCTTCTTTGCAGAAGTGCCTTCTTTCTATGTTTCTGCGGAATGAGCCATCTTCATAGAATCACAGAATGGTTGGGTTGGAAGGGACTTCAAAGCCCACCCAATTTCAGCCCCATACTGTAAGCAGGGTTGCCACCCACCAGATCAGGCTACCCAGGGCCTCATCCAACCTGGCCTTCCTTTCATACAAAACTCAAAACAAAAAAAAATCCTTTAAGAAAAGCAATGAATGTCTGCTAACATAAAGACCTTGCACGCAATAACACTGTGACAGTAAATTGTCTGAGGTTCTACCTGTGCTATCCCTATTGGGATTCATGCCCATAAGAACACACAGTCAGAATTCACACAAAGGCCTCTATTTTAATTCTGCACAGAATTAGGTGCCTGGTGATCCCTTGCAAAGCAAGTACATCTTGAATGGAAGTGAGGTTATTTACATGTAAAAAAAAAAAAAAAAAAAAAATTTCTTTACAGTATCTAATTGGTTACTGCATTTCAACTTCACTGGGAATGTGTATCATGGAGTGGAAGGCTATAGATTTGGGAAGGAATAGCTGCTGTCCCGCTTTAATCTCATCTCCTTAATGCTAAGTGTATTTTTTAAATATGCAGTTATGCCTTAAAGAACCAGAAAGTGATTTATAGGACACTTTCTCATCCATTCTTTTTGATATCAACACATCATTGTATGTTTGCCATACTTGCGGCTAAATTGTTTCTTTCTCATTCATTTTTTTGCATATCTGTGATCAACTGTTTATACTTTCTTGTGCTTGGCAAACTAGAATTTCCACCCTTTGAGACTGTTATGTCTACTTTCTTGTCCTGGTGGGCTATATCTGTAGCACTGTTTTTAAAAAGCAAACCAAAAAAACCCATTGCCTTAATCTACAACAAAGGCTGCTTGTCTCAAAAGGAAATAACAGGTTTAAGTTGTCAGACCCACCTCCTCTCGTCTCCTTGCAGGTATGCTCCCTGCTGAGGCTCCCCATTCATTGTATAGCTAATGATAGACCATACTTTAATGGGGGTTGTGGCTGATTTCAAGCTGCTGGGGACACTTGTCTCTCACTGATTCCACACGTTTTGCTTAGCTGCCCAGCATAGAAAATGCAGTTTTGGTTCTGCTCCAGTTATTAACTGAACACTTGATAGTGAAATTGCTTTCTAAGGCCAGCCATCAGCTACAGCACCTTGCTGCCAGCCCTAAGCCCACCCAGATTTCAAAGGATAAGACAAACATGAGATGCTGCCTGAGTATCTAAATTATGTCAAACTCTCAAGGAGCAAAGCCTAAGGCCTTTCTTCTGGACTCAATTCCCTCTGGGTCCTTTTCTCTGCTTTCATAACTAACTCTGTGCAGTAATTACAGTTCCTTGATCCTCAGAGATATCCCCAAAAGAATAGTCTTTCTTCTGGGTGAGGCAGTTACCTTACACCAGCCTCTGTTTCCAGGCTGAGTCCAGTGGTCCCACCTTAAAAAGTCAGGAAAGATGGCCGAAAAATAAACCAGGCTCTTTCTCAGGAAGAAGGTTGAACACCTACAAAGAGGTTTCTGTTGGAATGTTTTTAGGTCTGCAGTCTAAAGCAGGTTGTAGAAGTGTGATATTTTTTTTTTTTGCCTGAAATCCAGAGCAGTTCAGCAGTTTTGGTGGTGTTACTTATGGCAGACCTGCAGCTTGCTGCTGACTGTGAAGCATCCACTGTTTGGAAAAGGGAAACAGGTCACCACTTCACTTTCAAACAACATGGGTTTAATGTGTTTTTAGCACAAAAACTGAACACTCAAGTAGTGTTCAGGTGAGGGGAGTTGTTACTTTTTCAGGAATGTGCATTTAATCCCTGAGGAGTGCACTGGAAACATAAGGAGGCTGTGTGAAGGCCTGAGACGGGCTTTGCTCTTCTGAGCTGGCTGCAGCCAGCTGCTGGGGTAAAATGATGACAGAAGCAACGGGGGGCTGGGCTGCAAGCTCTCCATTAGCAGAGAGGAGCAAATGGACAGATTGACAGCAATGGGGACAGACCCACATTGCCTTCAGAGAGGTTTGGATCAAACCCAGAAAGTGAGCTGGAGTACAAGAGGGGAGAGGCCCAAGAGAGGGGATTAGATGACTGGGTTTTAAAAGGAAAGTAACAGTTTTAATAATAGTATTGAGTGTCCGAGTGGTTTAGGGGATTAATTAACCCGTGTTTGCACAGTACTATAAAGAGGTCCAGCTCAGGGTCAAAGCCCTGCTCTGTGTTGCGAGCTCCTTCAGTCTCCAAAATGCTGAGAGCCCCATCCTAAGCTCAGGCCATCTAACAGCCAGGGGGCAGTGGGGCCAATGCTGGGGAGCCTGGCAGCACCTCCAAGGGGTTTGGTACCAGCAGTGAGCAGCCCAGCCTTAATGGGGATGGGCTGTGGTGCATGTTGGTAGAGCCCAAAGTACACTTGGTCGTTCATTGTGAGCCCAGGAGGGTAATCGCTAATCACTGCTGTTTGTTGCATTGTTATTGTGATAAGCATCAAAGCTCCTATCAAGCTTCAAAGTGATTTATGTGTTTGGGGCTGATACTCTTGGTTTCTGTAACAGTTTCTGCAACTGAGTTGGTGGTTCTCTTTATAAAGAAAAAAAAAAGTTTTAAATTAAATATTTGAAATCACGATATTATTTGAAAGATCTGTAACTCAAAAAACTCCAGACTGGCCTAGGTGGCTGTCTGAACTTCAAGTAACAAACAACTTCTTGTTTTTTCCTGTTTTTTTTTTTTCTTCCCCAAATTTATGCAGCCAACTTAGCATTATGACTTAAGTGGACTGTAGTAACAGAAACAAATGTGTGTTGCCAGTGCTTCAAAATGCTCGTAAGAAAGCCATTATCCATGCATCCTAGCTAACTTAGGCCTTCTGTCTTGAACAAAGTATGCCTTGCAGGCCTGAGGGCTTGCAGCTGTTTCTGGATGAAAGTTAGTAGTACTGTCAGCTCTGTATGATCTGGAAAACAAGTTAAAATATCATGAATAATACAAGGCATGTTGGGCAACAGAGAAACCTCATGGTTGTTTTTTTTTTCTATGGAGTTAGGGTGCAGTCAGGCAGTATGCTGGCTCACTGCTGCTTCACAATGCACCGGGATCTTGGCCTAGCCAATATGCTCTGCCAGGTTGGGAACTCTACAGTGCAGTGAACCTACTTGACTCTGCATGGAGCTTGCATAACCCCAGCCAAGATGAACTTCTCAGATTCCATAATGTGCAAATCTGGGCATGCAGCTTCAAATTGCAAGGTAGCTTCAGGTGCAATCTAGCTACAATCACACACTGGTGCACCAGAGCCAGGAAGTCTGGCTTATCTGAGCTGCCTATATGGAGTATGTTTGCATATTAGTTCCCTTTGCAGGGTGAACATAATGGCTAGTTAGATTGTCAAGGCTCGATCTAAATAACTAATCAAGACCAATAATCTCCCTGTGACGGTTTTAAGAAAATCAGCGTATTTTTAATCCTTGTGTGAAACCATGTCCTGTCTTTGCAGTTTGGAAAAGTGCTCTGGGAAAATCCCATTCACTGCACACCCGAGGAATCATTGAATTGGCAGGAGCTATATCATGTGGCACGGGACGGTCACCCTTGGCATATATTGGCTACGGATGTTACTGTGGACTGGGAGGACGAGGCTGGCCTAAAGATAAAACAGACTGGTAAGAAGAACCTCAACTGTGTGTCCAAAAGCAGTGTAGATCTCCATATTCTTCCCTATCTGCACTCCTGTGCCTCTAAGAACTCACTACTGAGGAAATTTAATATTTGTCAACTATGAGCAAGGAGCCGTGTACCATCTGGTGTTTGAATGAGGGCCTTGCCACCTCCTGGATGAGAGCAGAGCTCCTGGGACCTTGTACTATGTGGGTGGAGGACAAGGAATAAACCAGGATATGAGCTCATTAAATAGTACATCCTATAGAAGGCAAGCCCTGCATAAAGAGATAGGAGTGATTAAAAGGTTTGGATGATCAATTCATGTCATCCTGAAAATGGCAGTGATGGGAATATTACTGGCCACCCTCTGGAGGGATCTAGAATTTTGCAAGGAGTTAATCAAACCTGTTGTCTTCATCACCTGTCTGTTTAAAGCAAATCAAGCAAGAAAAACAACTGTTTAGAACATGGTAGTACTTCCCCTTTTCCTTGCTGTGCTTTTTATTTCCAAGAGTAAAAATGAATTGATGAGATGTTACAATGAAAGGCTTCTTGTACTTAGCAGTTACCATACATGTAAATCTTTAATGTGATGGACTTTGGTGTGCTCTGAGCCCTTTACGTGCAATCTGGTCTCATTTAAAACCTCAAAGGCAGAGCACACAACTCTGCTTTTATCTGCAGTCAGCAAGTCAGGTGTTATCCACACACTAGAGCAGCTTTTCTCAGAAGGGAAGACAATGCATAGCTCACTGGAAAGGAAATTGACTGAGCTTTCCAGGGTGCAAGATGCCTAGGCTAATGACTGGTTCCTCGGTGGGCATGAAGGAGCAAGGAGCTATTTAAATTAGTGCATCTCTCTTAATTAATGCAGGGGAAAGTTTCCCTCCCAAAGCCATTTTTTCACATCTTTGGTTTATGGGTGCTGTCTGTGAAACATTCAACATAAGACTTAGGAAAAAAAAAATGAGTAGCTAGCAATGATGTGTCCTAGGTTTCAGGCCTAGAGATTACTGCTAATGTTTAATAGTACCTCTTGATATGCTTGTAACCATCTACAGCTGTGATTGTAAATATTTTCATCATTTTTGTTTTAACCTTTATAATCTCTTATCATCAAGACTCTTACAGTCAACTCTTTAAAGTAAAACATGACTTCACTAATTTGAATACTTCATTTGCTGAAGGCCCAGATGGAGTCACCTAGAAGCTGTTTTCCACAGATATTCACTGATACCAGGTTTTGGTGACTCTGGGTGATGCAAGTGCTCAATACTCATGAAAAATAGAGAGCAACATCTGATCAGGTATTCATTGGTGCATGTTTCTGCTGCTCTTTGATTTCCATGGGATGTGAATTTTATCCTAATGGCAGAAAAAGGTAACTCTGCAAATGGAAATGTCTCTAAATACCAGAGAGGTATTTAGAAAGCTTGATGCTCTAAGAGCATTCATTATTGTTGCATAGCAGTAATGCTTGGTGAAAACCAGAAAGATTTTTTAGTTTGATTCTCGGCTAGGAAGGCTACATTTAGTTAGGAATGTTTCCAGGCTGTGTTCACCAGAGAAATCTTCTGATACTGCAAAAATCATTGTGTCTGAGTATCCCATGCCAGTTACAGTGACCACATTATTTTCCATATTTGCAATTCTAGAGAAGAAAGATGCGGAGTGGCAAAGCTACAGGCCTTGAAGGACACACACAGTTGAAAATGACTCACCTCATCTTGTCTGTTTTAGGAGTCTCAGTAATAAACCTAGGAGTGATTTGCTTGTGAGTAATTCAGTCAGTCTGTCTAGACAGGGCTAGAGTGCTTTTCAGCATTCCTCTTTCATGGAGGAAGAAAAGGTGCTATTGAGTGGGTAATGGTTTTATAAGGTTTATTCCACACTCTGACTTCAATGTGGTGTTGCCAGTTTTTCCTTTTGTTCCATAATCTCTTCACTTCTAGTCATGATGGCATTTCTTTTCCATAATGTTGATAGTTTTGTTTCTCCTTCCCAGTTCTGTTCCTTGCATTGCTGCACCACAACTGAAAGGACTGCTGCCATAATGTCTGCATTTCCCTGGGCTTGTCGCCTTATTTTTTTCTCCTAGAAATGTGATGCATAGGATTTAGTGCACAGCTTGGACATGGCACCACCCTTCTGCTTGAGATTTCCTGGAAGGAAGCATCCACATTCCCACTTATGCAGAGCAAATCCATAGAAACCCTGAGGAAAGGTATTCAGGCAAAATCCATTTTGCCGAGCAGGACCCAAAAGTGCTCAGAATCTCCCCGAAAGCATCAGTGACATGAGGGGCAAACTCAGAGATTTCCTCTGTTTTTTGGGTTAAAGCACCATGGGGATGGCTGAGCTGTTTACATGACAAACACACTGTGACAAATTCTTACCTTGAAGGCAGCTGTGCTCACTGCAGGGGTCAGATTGGGCCAGTAGAGTTGTCTGTAGCCACTAGGGCTGTCTGATCCCACCAGATGATGTGTCAGTTGTTTGTTAACTAGATGAACCCAGTTGTTTTTTTCTTTTATAATTACTGACCAGTGCTCTGCCATACTGTTGGCGGGCATTGTTTGCGTTAGTGTGACTGAGCATTAGCAGGCTGTTGAGAGTTCAACACCACATTCTGACCCAGATGCGGGAAAGGGCATTTCCAGATAGAACAGATGTCTGAAGATGGCAAAAGGATGATAGATTTCCTCACTCTTCATACCTTGGCAGTCTTTTCAAAGCAGCTAAAATATGAGTTAGTCTTCTCACTTTGTGTTGGTATCACTCTCTGCAGGAGGAAATGGTGTTAATGGAAGCAGAACTGTGCCCCAGTTCCTGTGGCCCTGCAGAATTCATGTAACTGCCCCGACTTTCACTAAGAGAGCTAAAAACAGCTGGCTTTCACTGCTAGCTGGCTTACCTCTTCTGCTCTCTTTTTATTGTCTGATTTATAGACAATCTTCTACCTCCAACAAGATCTTGTCTCAAAAATCTATCTCTCACTGTACTTTTTTTTTTTTTTCCTGTTTATTCCTTCTGTGACTCTCCCTGAAGGGCAGTTTCATTCCTTTGGGTTGAAGAAAGCTGAGACTTTCATGCTTTCTACAGTGAATTCTTTTCTCCTTTGCCCTTTCACTTCCAGCATCTTCAGGACAAGCTCAGGAGTGAGGTGCTCCTGGACCAACAGAGATCTGAACCACATGGCCATCATGCCCAACAGAGCTGGTTCTGTGGGCTGAATAAGCTCACCTGCTGAATTATGGAAATTGTTGTCACTCTTAACAGGAAAACCTGTAGGTATTTATATCCAGTAAGGCTGCTTTCCATTCTGAAGCTCTTTGAGGAAATGTTTGTTCCTCTATAGTGTGCCCATGGGACAGCTTCTGGAAACAGGAGATGGCTCCTCCCTGACTCCAGCCTTTGACGTATCACTCTTGCTGAAACAAACCTTGTTACTCATCATAGAACTTCTTCAATTGCTGAATCTTTCACTAAATTACTGGAATAAAATTCGAGTGGGATGAAGTTTTCCTGTGTATTCTGAAGCACTTAGCAGAGCAAATGTCCTTCCTGAGTAGTCTTGTGGTACAGACAACAGCTGAGCTAGCCACCTTCAGCCCTCTCTATGGTCAGTGACAGGCAATCAGTACTTTCAAATGTGTTGTTTTTCACCTGTTAGATCCCTGCAATATGATCATGTGAACTGTGCTCTTGATATACAGGAAGGGAGCATAGATCTGTCCCTTGTGTCCCTTTATGCTTATGGTCATAAAGTCAACTGCTATGAATCCCACTTCTGAGGATGATGAGTTTGTAGCCAGCTGCTACACTGATGCCAAGGAAAGTGAAAATCATCCTGACACCAGATTCTAAGATGATCCGAACCTCAGCTGGTGAGCCATGGTCACGCACCTCATCATAATGCTTCAGCTCCTTTCAGTATGGCAGATTACCATGATCTGGGGATTGGCCACACCTGTTTTTCTGAAGGCAAAATCATAGAGAAAGGAGAAACGTGTGGTATTCATGGGGACAAATAAGGCATTAATATGCTCTCAAGACAAGAGAGCATTCATAGAAATGCCATAACATTGTTGATTTACTGACAGAGCTGTAATTAGCGGTGGGTGAGTGGAGTAACCTTGCAGTGCCTGAAAACACCAGTGAGCAAAGTATGCAGGATGCCCAATCCCAAACTTTGCCTTTTGTTCTCCCTAAGGTGCTGCCACAGGCATGACTGCTGCTACGACAAGGCAGAGAGAGAGGGCTGCAGTCCGAAGGCACAGCGCTACCAGTGGGTGTGCGAGCAGAATGCCGTGCGGTGTGGTAAGGACACAGTAGCCTGTGTTAGTTCCCTCCTTCCTCCACAGAAACACTGACTAACACAAAAGCTTTGTGTGCCTCAGAGATGGGATTTTGAGGCTTTCAGAGTTGAGTGATTTCAAGTGCCACAGGCACATGCAGTGTGTGTAGGCTTGCTCAGCTCTACAGCTGGTACCAGTCAAGGAGGTCTTGAATTGCACAGTAGCAGCCCGTCAGTAGTACACACCAGTTTGTTTTGACATGCACCAGATGACTTGAGTCTTAGAATTTGTCACTTCTATTTTGAAGTCTTCCAAAAGTCCCTGATGGTAAAATCTTTTGTATGGCTCTTTGAAAGTTTGAAAAGGAATGCGTGAGAGTAAAACCTGTCCCCATGCCATCAGAGCTACTTGCTTGAAAACTGAGTTATTTCTACCTTGCTAGAAGATCATATTCTTCCAGTACAATTCCCAGCCTCCCCGAGCAGCTGAAAATGCCAGCAGACCAAGGGTGTGGCACCACACATTCACTGTATATCCTTTCCCAGTTCAAGAACCATCTATTAAACTACGTACTGGCTAAGGAATATTTTGCTAGACATTACTGCTCTTTTGATTTATCCATTCTGTATTTTAGTAGCTAACTGATATTTTCTGCTAGCTATTTCAATATGTAACTCACCATTTTTGATGTGAGGGAATGATCCTGATTGCAGATGTAAAGTTTATCATCAAACACGTGAGACATGCAATGCTGTCCCGTAACAATGGGCTGCACTTGTTCCAGCCTGCCTCATAAGCTTTAGTTAAACAAATGCCATATATTCCTCAACTGATGTCCAGGCAAGGCCCCATGAGCAACTGGTAACTGTTCTCCCTAAATAATCAACAAACTTCACTTTCTCTTACATCCACGATGGAGCGGAGCAATGGAAATGTTCTCTGAAGGGTTATTTCCTACCCCAGGCTGCAGCAGGTTTCACTGAGGTGTGAAGGTGTGACGTCTTACTCTGTTCAGACAAAACAAATGAAGTGTTGTAGTCTGAGGCACATTTACTGGATCTAGAGGAATGATATCCAGAGAAATTACAAGCAGAACTGCTTTCACTGTACATGCTATGAAAGAGGAAATTAAATGCCTGTGGCTTGGCACTGTATCCTAAACACAGATATTTTCAGGTAAATTAAACAAACTCATTTTACCTGGGATTTCTCTCCGTCGTTTGCTACTGCTATGCAGTTTTGCTTGTGAAATGGAGAGGGGGGGAAAAAAAAAAAAGCAAAGCCATATATTTCAGTTAGGCCATCACACATAAGTATGGTAAATATCTGGAATACAAAAAAAAAAGGCTTTGAGCTGTGGGGTCTGCTCAGAAAAAAATAAAAACAACATTGTGCTCTTAGAACTGGCTTACAAGGCAGGCTCTCTCTGACATTAGGCTGGCAGTGATTGGCATAGCACAGGAAGACCTCAAGAAGCAGTGGGCAGGGAGAAAACCAGGCAGTGTTGATAGCTAATTAAGAAAAGGACTTAATGCTGAGTCCTTGTGAATGGGCCCATTGAAACCCTTCAGCTGTAGACACATGATTCTCCTCAGAAAATCTTTGAAAGCAGGGACTCTGTGCATTTATTACACACAGTGTTGATCCAGTGAAGTCCAGTGAAATCTGGAAAGATTTCTACTCATTAGAGTTAGTTTTGGAGCAAAGCCTGGGCACACATGCATGAAATTACACTTTAAACTTTGCCTACTGTAGGCTTTGGAGGGTGTTAGATAATCAATAGGACCAGCTTCAAATAAACAAAGCACCATGCTTTTAGGTAATATCAGCTTAATGTTTTTAAGATGCCTATAGGTGGGATGGGATTTGTTATATGAAAATCAGTCCTTTGCAGTGCATCCACCTGAGCTAATTGCTTCTATGTTCCCTGTGCTGCTTACCTAGTCATGCAGTTGTGTGATTACATTCTATATAGCTTCATGTATATGATTTGGATCAGCTCCTGTAGATTTTGACTAAAAGAAATCAGATAGCTAACCCTGCTGCTGAGTTCCTTGGTTCCTCTGCCTCCTCCCATGACCTGTATTCCCTATTACAGCCTTGCTTGCTCTTACAACTGCTCATCCCCTTGATCCAATATAGAATCTTTCATCTCTTGTTCATCTTCTTTTGCAGATAACCTGACAGACCCATGTGAAAAAATGGTGTGCCTGTGTGACCAAGAAGCAGCCCAGTGTTGGGGAACAGCCCCTTACAACCCACAGTTTGTCCTCTGGCCAGACTTTCTATGTGGGCAGACTCATCCAACCTGCCATTTCAGATATGAAGGGTCAAAATAGTTTTTAAAGGAACTTTCTTCTAATCCTTTGAATCTGAACACACTGGAATAAAATTTTACCTCTTTTACCAGAGCTAACGATAGCTTGAGAAAATTTCTTTTAGGCCATAATTTATGGGAAGGAAGAATAGGGTAAGATACGTGCATCTTCTAACTTCTGAGGGAAGAATAAAACCCTACTTTCCTATCTTTTTTCCAAAAACATGTTAGGACACATTGCTTGTCAATAAATGGCTGTTTTGTCCTTTCATAGCAACCTGATCTTTAGCTCCCACATGTTTGTACATCAATTGGAAAATAGGTAGAGGCTTCTGCTGGACTTGTTTAAAAAAAAAAAAATGAGAGGGAAAAAAAGTATCTATAAAAAAAGATGATTTTGAAGAGCCAGGGCATGCCAGTGTTGAAGTACAGTGATCCATTTCATCTTCCTGGAGCTGCAGGAGCAGAAACAACGGAAAGGGAGGGATCCTGAGTATCTGTTATGGGCACTCAGAGAAGTGGCTGAGCTGCTTCCTACCAAAAGGAAGAGAAGAGCTCTTGCCCAGGGTGCAGCTCTATCCCTTCTTACAGAGTCCACATGTTTCTGAGCTAACATAGCCAGACATCTTCTCCCCTATGTTCTTGCCTCACAATGCTGGGGACACTTCAGGGGAGCTTAAAAGAGGGGTGACCTAGACTGGATATGAGAAGAATGGGGTTTTTTTGGTTTTCTTTTGTTTTTGTTATTGTAAGAGTAGTGAAGCACTGGAACTGCCTGACCGGAGAGATGGTGGGTGCTGTGTCCAAAGAGAATTTCAAGGTCAGGATAGACAGGGCAGTGAGCAACCTGATGTAGCTGTGGATGTCCCTGTTCATTGCAGGGGAGTTGGACTAGATGATATTTAAAGGTCCTATCCAACTAAAACGATTCTATGGTTCTATGGTTTTCTATGAAAAGGTAAGCAAAGTCACACTGGAATATTTCTGGTGCGTGGGTTTCTGACTTTTACCAGGAGGATCACCTACACTGCGAAAAAGAGCATGTTCCTCACATGTCATATGTATGTGCTTCACTAACTGATGTGCAGCTCTGCTATACAGTTATGGGCACATTCCCCTGCCACTGGCCTCCTGGGGACCAACTACTGTCATGTCAGGGGACTCAGGCTATAGAGAACATTATTTACAGCAACCAAACCTTCAATATTTTTTCCTTACGGTTTATATACGAACATCGTGTTTCCTGCTGGAAGAGTAAAACTAAACCCTATTTTTTCAGCATGAGGTAGCATTCAAGTGATCCTTTGCCTCTTTGTTGCAGAACTGTAGGCTGGAGCAAGCCAACTGGATAAGAGCCTCTGCACCAAGATGGAAAAGTTGCTAGGGAGATGAGAACACCCCAGAAGTCACACATTCTGGGCAGGTAAACAGGGATGCCCCTGGGCAGGTGTTAGCATGTGGAAGCTTTCATTCTGTTCGTTTTGAAGCAGTGCTGGCAAACTTGGAGTACTTTTGAGATAATAAGTAATCGTAGGGAAAGATCTGAACTATCCCATCAGAGTCCAGATAAAGAGATAGGTGGCCAGATTGAGTAGGCCCTCAGTAGATTACGGTACAAATTCCTTTTAAAAAGGTTGTTTTGCTCTTCACGGCAGGAGGCTGTTGAATATGCCACTGTGGCTGTCAAGGCTGTGGGAAAATAAACATATTGCAAATGCCAAAGACAACATGTGCTGAGGCAAAAGCTTTTATTACATCTAGAGCCTCCTTTTTGGCTTACAGGGCATGATAAATTACTTTGTGTTTAGCCTTTGCATCTTCTGGTGTTTCGTGAAGCTCTGCAGATCAAGCTATGCTGAGTAAGAAGAAAAAGAAAGAGCCGGGTTAGTGCAGCACAACAAACTCTCCCAAGGCAATCTGGCAAGGCAGTGTGTTGCGAACTCCGTTCTCTCACTGTTTTTGCAAAGGGCTGATGCTGTGTGGGCAGAAGTGGACTATGCTGTGCTCAGTAATGCTGCGGGGAGAGGGAGCAGAGCTCCTGGCCGCTCCAATGTCCCCGTCTCCACTACAATGGCCATCAGAGGGCGGCAGCGCTCCAGTGAGGAGCGAGCGCAGCTCTGCGTGGCTTTTGTGCTTCGGTTTGGTTTGATTTCAGCAGGTTGAATCAGATTTTTGAGCGTTGGGAGAAGAGAAAATAAAAATGGTTTTTTTCAAGAGTCCTGTTTAGCAAAGTTTCCAGTGAGCTGAGCGCGTTCGTAAATGCAGACCGCATCTTGGGTTGCACAAAAGGGGAGCTAAACTTGTTTTGAAATCCAGCCTTTGGTGTCAGCTTACTATTATTAGACCGGATGACTGACCTGGAAAATATAGGTAAGCTTTTGGGTACGCCAAACTCTCCTCAGGTGACCTCTGGCTAGTGGTAAGTAAATGTCTAATTCCAACCTAAGTTTAAAAAGGCATCTTTGGAAGCAAGTAACTTCCTAGCAAGTTATGCCAGATTTTGTTTTGTGCTCCATACCTTGTTGAGAGCCTTGTTTCATGCAGAGGATGCATCTCCTTAGCTGTGGGGTTAAAATGATAATCAGAACTCCTAGGCCTCCAATACCAGCTGCCACAACCCCAATGATTGTTCCAATAGATTCTTCTATACCAAACAAGCCTGAGGGACAAAAAAAGGCAGAGAGCAATGTAAAGTGTCTTTCAGGCAAGCAAATGCAATGCAGCTAGCACAATTTCTGCAGTGTCAATAGGGAAGCTACTTACAATGGTATTGATTACACGAATGTCTTGCCTGACATGACATTGCTGGCTTCCACACAGGAGAGAACGTATTGCACAGTGGAGTTGATTTTTTTCATTCCTTGGTAGGAAGCTGCTACGTTTTCTGGGGAATTAGTGATAGGACAGTTTCCCTTAACAGTCAAGTACTGTTATGAAACAGCATCAAAAGGTGTGCACAGCTCTGCTGCAGTCCTTTCTTTTATTTGTTGTTCTTTGGGAACACGGTAGGGATAGAATTATCCCATTTTCTCTGAGATGCACACTGGAATTCTACCTTTGTTATTTGTTCAAACTGAAGGATGATTTGGGAAGAGCCATTGGTTAGGTTAGCACATTAGCATGGTCTCTGACAAGGATTGTGGAGTGTACTGTGAGAAGCACCTGCCCTGTGATGCAGAGCCTGCTGGAGGAAAAGTGTACTTGTAGAGAGAGGGAACTGGCTGGACAATGGCACAAAGACTGATCTGATCAGATTTTAAGTGACTGCCCTGTGGTACTCATTGTGCCAGGTGACTCATCCAGGAAGGATAATGAAAGAATAATTTAAAGCCTTTCAGTTTCATCTGCCCTTAGAATACAATCAGGCATTCATGATATATGTGAAACTAGTTGCATTTAAGCTTCATGAGAAAAATTGGATAGTGTTGCTAATGTACTGACTACAAGACAAATCCTGAAATCTTTCATCAGTTTTAATCAGCACTTAATTAGTCTAACTCAGGACACCTACCACCAAGATGCACAGGCAAGACTGAGAAGAAGCAAGGGTCCGTACAGAAAAGATCCAACTGTTCTGGTGACCCTTGTCTTCATGCACATGCTTAAGGCAGACCCACCAATAACTATAGCTGCATGCCCAGTCAGCAGTGATAACCAGAAATGAAACCTATTGCACAGATTTCCAAACATCTGTTCAATCATTCATAGGAGAAGCTGCTACTCTCTGCTACCTTGATGAATAGATGCACACTCAGCTGCTCACCAGTGAGTGAGCTGTAGCTCACCAGTAAAAATCCAGCCCCCTCTTCCCACCTACAGAGAGGTGTCCTGCAGTTAAAGTTCATTTTTGTGGCTGCTTGTTGAATTGGAAGGACAATGGTGCTGTAGAACCATTGCTTTCTTCACTTCAAAATATATGTAATTTGCTTCATGTAATGGAGAATTTAACATTGTCATCTAATTTCTCCTTTTCATTTTAGATAAATGGGGGGGCAGTCTTGATCTGTGGCACAATTCATTTATTTGTGAATTATATTTCTCATGTTCTCTCATCCCCCTAATTTAGGTGTAGTGCAGAAATGATGCATTTCATCTTCTCAGGAGCACAAAAAGGCAATTACATTGGCCAGGGAGCAGACACTGCAATTGTAACATGCACTACAGAGAATATGAGCTCAAGCCAGTGGGAGACCTCATAAGATACATGGTCAGGTCCTCATGCACACCTTGCCTTGTTAGTCATGTTTTAAATTGAGTAGTTACGTAAAAATTAGTAAGGGAAGAATTCAGGCTCAAAAGGGCAAAGGCCTAGTGAATCTCAGTGAGTTAGAAGTTTTAATAATAAATAGTGGGGAAATGGCACTTGCATGATATGCTCTTGACACAGAAGGTGATACTTTTTTTTTAGTTAGATAATGAGATAATAAACCTTTTGATGTATTGATTTGTTGGGACTGAAATGTGCTTAGCCTTTGTGAAAAGGAGAGCTGCTTTGACATTTCCATCTGATAAAGGCAAAACAAGCTATCTCCCTACTTCATACGCCTAGTGTATATTTGTGATGCTAAGAAAATATAGCGTGGCAGTTTTATAGCTGCTTTGATTTTAATGGGACTGAAGTTAAGCAGAACTGATATAACGTGATCCTTGTGCTTCACTGTGAGTTTACTTATGTCATCCAGAGTTAAGGAATGAATATGTAGATCAGTGCGTTGGGGAGAAGTAATGTCAAAAGAAAAGACTTGGAAGCTGTTTCCTGAGGTGATATCCTGATACCAGCCACTCAGAGGGATTCTGACAAAGCGAGATGTGTACACAAGAGAACTTTTCTGACAGTTTTGTTCTTAGTGCTCACTAATTTTAGTGACAGAACTATTTCTCCCCTTTTTACTTGTAAATGATCCTTGTTACAATGATACTTGTCTGATTGTTTCTAGGAGCAAGCCAATCAAAATTAGCTAGCCTGAAAAAAAAAAAAAAGAGAAATCCAACTATGTGGGGACATTCCATTACACTAGGCCATATGTCCTAGAAACCAAGCAGACTAATTTCACTCCTTCTGCAAGTGCTTAGACTAGTTTTGGAGGAGGAAGAGGGAG